CTACTCGTCACCCTGATCACTTTGGTATATATAACCCTATATCTGACTCTTTTAGTTTTAGGACTTACAAACAACCGTTATGTGAACAAAACTGTAATACTCTCTTTAGCAACTTTGTTGCGAGAGCATAAAAAAGAAACGTCATTTTTGTATGTCCGCGTATTACACCCGAACCACAGCATAGAAAGACGTCAAAATTTGCACGGGTATTCCTTTAGTCTTGGAGATGGTCCTTTTTTGCAAAATCACCCTCGATTTCGCAATTTATGTCTATATTTTTAACTCAAGAATGGTTCAACCGATTTGGCTGAAAATTGGTGATGAGGTAACTTGGAATATCGGGACGGTCATAGGCTACTTCTATCGTTTTATATTAAAAGCCAAAACAATTCATAAACAAAATAAATATATTTCAAAACGAGCATGTATTCAAATTCATGTAAGAATCATTTGAACATTTTTTACTTCAAAAAAGCGAAATAAAATCATACAGCTACTGGCAGTGATTTTTCTTGACATACACATATACATAGGGGTGTGCGAATCCGGTTCGATTCGAATCGAATCGGTATTATATCCTTAGATTCGATTCGATAGTCGAGTCAAATATCGAATATTTCGAATTGCTCGAATTATTCGCATTATACGAATAGTTCGAACTATTCTCGAAATCTTAAATAGATTATTCTATTACTGCAATAGAACAAAATTAAAGAAAACAAAACAATTATTTAATTAAAATTGATTTAGACATTTATTAACAATATTTTGAACAATAGTATAATTAATCATAAACTCATAAACGTAGTAGCTAGAAAAACATAATGATTAATTAATATAGATAGCTTAAAAAAATCCAACAGGACTCTGATTTGTTGAAGACTCAACCTCATTATCATCTTCCACACCAACTTAAGGTTCCACTTCCACAATCATACTTTCCTCTTCAGAATTATGGAAAGACATTTATTCAACTAAACAAATATAACCAATGTTTGATTTTTTGAATATTTGAAATGAGAATGACAGATGTACGTCAGATGCATGAACGAGATACTACTGGCGCTAGTGTCTCAATCTCAGTGTTTGAAACAGTCAAATATTAAAATTATTCGGATTATTCGAATAATGCGAATATGCGGGTCGAATCTCAAATAGTATATAGTGACAGTTGTAGCTGAACAAGAAGAGGTTGAAATATTATTTGAGATGAGTGCATAAAAGCTGACAAATATTTCTGTGTTTTCTTACGTGTAGTGCCTGGGTTTTAGCAGTCGATTTTGCAATTACATTCGATGAATGTTGAACAAAACATTACCATTCTTCTGCTCTACTCCTACTTGTTATTCACTATAACAAGAAGCATATACATATGTGTGTAGAGACTGTTAAGATGTTGTTACATCATACATATTATGTATGTACTATTCCTTAAGGAATCGTCTCAGAGTGACTCGCCGAAAAATCACTGATTTTCGCGATTTTTTTTAAATGTTGGACATGCTGATTAGCTACAGTCCGATTTTTTTAATAATTTTTTTATATTTATTATTGGGTGTCGTAAAAAAAAAGGTCCTGTACGATGTTCACGACTGCGACCGCAATTTTGGTCTAATGCAAAAATTTCATAAATATTGTAGAAAAGTCGCTATAGCGCTATGAAAACTTTTTTTGTCTTTTTGAAATTTGATAAAATGGCGGCGGTTTGAACAGTAAGTATCGAATTTGACCTTTTTTCGACAGTTTTTCGTAGAAAAAAATTGTAAGATTTCAAAAAAAAAAAAAAAAACGCGATAGCGAATCACGTTAAAAATGTTCTCTCCAAATTGCAAAAGATATCTTCAAAATTCTTTCTTTGAGAATGGAAACCGTTTTGAAAAACACCATTCTGTGAGCGTTGTTGTTGTTGTCACGGCAGAATTCTGTGAGCGTCATCTGGGGGCGTGACCCACCGGTTGGTCACACTATCTTTGATTCAGAAAAAAATTTTTTTTAATAAAATAAATAATTTGGTATCAAATTTTTAAATATATTTTTTTAATAATTGTGAGTTTTTTTAAAACATTTTAAACTAAGTGGTGGTTTATTTTCGCAAAATTGCCAGAACGTTGTAACTTTTTTAGTTCTCTTTTCAGCAAAAAAAAAAAAAAAAGAAAGCTCGTTTTTGTCAACGCTCTAAATCTGCCATGATCTGGCGTTGGTTTGCGTCTTGCTTCGCATTCTTACATCTGCCTTAGCTATTTACCGTTCTAGGAGCCGCCAGATGAAACTGACTACTAAAAACAACGTGTTAAAGACTGGAGTCGCTATGTTCTCCACTCTGTTTCTTTTCTATAAGAATAATAATTTGAATTTCGATGTCAAAATTTAAAATAATTTTTATTATAGTGTATAGTATCCGATAGTGCAAAAAATAAAATCTATTAAAATAGCGATATCCTGATGAAACTTGGTAAGCGCGTTCTCAACGTAATCGTTACGTACCATAACTAATCACTAAACGAAGCTATAAAACTCTAATCGCAGTAGCAATCTGTGGGCACAAAATTTTTAAAAAATTAAATAAGTCGAATGTACATATCTCCTAAGCCACTAAAGCTGCAACAACCAAATTCGCTTAGCGCAAATATTGACGGTGTGAAAATGGATGAAATCGGGTGG